TTTAAAATGTTTAAGAAGCTTAATTTAAAATTAAATTAAAATGCAGAGCCCCCCGGACTGGTGGCCAGGACCCAGGCAGTGTGAGTGCCACTGAAAATCAGCTCACGTGCCATAGGTTGCCTACCCCTGAGCTAGAGAATATCATAAAAAAAAAAAAAATCCAATCATGATTTAATAATTGCCAGTGATGGAAAAATGCATATCTAAAAGTGAACAAAAGTTGTCTGGGGCCAGCAAGGGGAGGATGAGACCTCTTACAGACTTTGTTATAGATTATGTGGAACTTGTCAAGCTTCTAAGGCAGGGGTGGGCAAACTTTTTGGCCGGAGGGCTGCATCGGGTTTTGTAAATTGTATGGAGGGCCGGTTAGGGGAGGGGGTTGTGGCCCGGCCCCCACCTCCTATCTGTTCTCCCCCCGGGACTCCTGCCCCCTCCGACCCCCCCCGTTCCCTGATGATCCCCCTGGGACCCATGCCGCCTTCCCCCTCCCCCGCTCCCTGTCCCCAACCGCCCCTGGACCCTTGCCGACCCATCTAACCCCTGGAACTCCTGCCCCATCCAACCACCCCTCTCCCTGTCCCCTGATAACCTCTGGAACCCCTGCCCCTGACTGCCCCCTGCTGCTCCATCCAACCCCCCCATCTTCCTGACTGTCCCCATTCAACCTCCTGTTCCCCGCCCTGACCCCTATCCATACCTCTGCCCTCTGACCACCACCCCAAACTCCCCTGCCCTCTATCCAACCCCCCCTACACACTGTCCCCTTACCGCGCTGCCTGGAGCACCGGTGGCTGGTGGCATTACAGTCGTGCTGCCCGGCTGGAGCTGGGACACGCAGCGCACAGCACTGGGTCAAGCTGGGCTCTGCAGCTGCGCTGCCCCAGGAGCTCACAGCCCCGCCGCCCAGAGCATTGCGCCGGCGGCGGAGCAAGCAAGCTGAGGCTGTGGGGGAGGGGAACAGTGGGGGAGGGGCCGGGGCTAGCCTCCGAGCCAGGAGCTCGGGGGCTGGGCAGGATGGTCCCCGGGCCGAATGTGGCCCGTGGGCCATAGTTTGCCCATCTCTGTTCTATGGTCTTGCCTTCATTAGGAAGAAAGGTGTGTTAACTTGAGGTAAAATCCTAGTGAAGACAAGGCAGTTTGTTTTCACATGAGTTTACAAGTCAAGTTAAACCCTAGGCTTCCCCAATCTTAACATGACCTGCTAGCTGGTGTAGAAACAATAGCTGCCTTGTCTTCACTAGGATTTTAGCTTGATTTAGTTATCTTGAGTTAGGTAACGTAAAAACACCTCCCTCTCCCCCCACCCCCCTGTGGCAAATATTACAGCCAATGAAGAGTTTAAAAACAAACTGTTTACCAAGTTACCCCTGGCTAGTATATTTATTGTTTTTTTGTTTTGAAATTAGAGCTAACCAAGGAATCCAGCAGTGTGTGCTTTCTAGTTCATAGAGTGTGTCCTGAAGGAATGTGTACAGCTCTCCTAGCATATTGTTTCATTCCATGCCAAGTATGTTTCATGGGAACAAACTAATTTATTCTGTTCTTCAAGCACATATCTAGGAGTGTACACTTGCTGAAATATTTGACTAGAGATGAATAAGTAGATATAGCATAAAATAATACTTTGCATTTCTGTAGTACTTTCCATCAGAGGATCTCAAAAACGTTTTATGAACTTTAATAAATTAAACACCCTAACACCAATGCGAGGTAGGAGATTTCCCTGTTTTACACAGTGATAAACTGAGGCAGAGGTGGTAACTTGCCCAAGCTCATAGGTCAAGTTATTGGCAACGTTGGAAATGGACACTGTGGTTGATAGTCTCACCTCTGCTTTGGCTTCTTCATACTGGGTAAAAGGGTGGAGTGGTGGAGAGAGGCTCTTTTAAGCTTCAAATCCAATAGGTTAGGATTCCCCTGGTGCAGGAATGGAGGAAGACAGTCATAAAAATGTCCTCTAAAGAACCTTCACGAATCCTGATATAGAGGGTGTGCCGGGCGCAGGTATATGAGTGGGAGTGGCATGTCAGGGTAGGGCTGCAGCACATAGGACTGTGGAAGTCCTGAGCAGTGCTGCAACCCAGAGGCAGTGAGGGACAGGCTGCCGTATTTTGGACAGTCCCCTGAGGTCATCTGCTATACTAAGAGCTGCAGAGCAGCCCAGAATTGTGAGGGAACAAAGGTTGCTTACAGCTACCATCCGCCCTCCAGCCCCTGGGCTGTGACTTTTTTGTACTGTTTTGAACAAAATCTCAGGCTGTCTCATCTGGCTGACCATGGCCCACATTACATAACATTGAGACTATCTTGGGTGGTGCTGAAAGGAAATGTACAAATGAGTAGATACTTGATTACGCTTCCGGCAGTATGCCACAAACTCAGGAATTATTTTTTATCTTTGGCAATATTTTGTTTTCCTTGAAATGAGCTAGTGTGTGTAATACATAAATTCCCATAGAATCAGAATCTGCACAGCACATAGTACTTAGAGTTAAGCTCTGTTAATACTGTAAATAAATTGGAGAATGAAAGGATTTTAGAATGTATTTTATAGATTATTAAAATCTCTAACATACACCCACTCAACTGCTGTCAGCTTGCAATCTCACCCATTTTCTGTCTGGAAAAAGTCACAATAAGAAATTAGTGCCAGTATCTATCTTGTCGCTGCGAATAATTTGGTTGTATATCCAGTGGGCAGTAAAAGGGTTGAGCTAGCTTTATGAACTTTGGTAACCCTCAGCACTATTTGAAGCAATTTATGAGGGAAAATGGACACCATGATGAGAATGCTGTTTAAAAAAAAAAATACATTTTACATCAGGGGCAAGCAAACTTTTTGGACTAAGGGCCGCATCAGGTTTTGTAAATTGTATGGAGGGCCGGTTAGGGGAGGGGGTCGTGGCCCGGCCCCCACCTCCTATCTGCCACCCCCGGGACTCCTGCCCCATCCAACCCCCCCCTTCCCTGATGACCCCTCTGGGACCCCTGTCCCATCCCCGCTCCCCTGACTGCCCCCGGAACCCCTGCCCCCTGCTGCCCCATCCAACACCCCCTCCTTCCTGACTGCCCTCTCGGGACCCCTTCCCCCATTCAACCCCATTTCCCACCCAACCACCATCCACACCCCCGCCCCCTGACCACCACCCTGAACTCCCCTGCCCTCTATCCAACCCTCCCTTATTCCCTGCCCCCTTACTGCATTGCCTGGAGCACTGGTGGTGCTACAGCTGCAACGCCCGGCTGGAGTCAGGCCATGCTGCTGCCACCACCACCAGACAGCACAGAGCACCGGGTCAGGCTGGGCTCTGCAGCTGCGCTGCCCAGAGCATTGCACCGGCGGTGGAGCAAGCGAGCTAGCTGAGGCTTTGGGGAAGGGGGAACAGCGGGGGAGGGGCCGGAGGCTAGCCTCCCGGTCCAAGAGCTCGGGGGCCGGGCAAGATGGTCCCACGGACCGGATGTGGCCCACGGGCCATAGTTTGCCCATCCCTGATTTACATGATAGTCAAACTATTCATGGTCTGGATTTTTACTCAGTTTACATGAGTCCCTTCTGCCCCCCCCCTCCCTTTTTTTTTTTTAAGGGTGTGGAGGTGAGGTAGGTTGAGAACTGGATTCTGGCTGTAACTGGCTCCAGCCGAGAATTCCCTGTGGGGGTTGCTTTGAAGATGGAGCACAGCTGCTTGAAGCTGCCTCCTGCACCAGCCACTGGCTACTTCACCTGGGAACAGAAGGTGTATCAAGGGCAGGGAGGGGAAGGAGGAGGGGTGGAGTTATGCTCCAATGACAATCTTACCTGTTTGTAAAGCTCCTAGCATACTGTTGGGTACTATATAAAAATTAATATATAATTGGATTTTTAACCAAAATCTGTATTTCTGGGCATCTTATGGCAAGTCACTGTATTGCTAAACTGATAACATTTGCCATAGTGGCAGTGTATTTGCATAATGTCAGAAATAGTAAGCTAGCTTTCATTTCGCTTTGGTACTGCATTGATAGTCTGAGCTGTAAAAAATTCAATATTTGTGTTTATGAGTGAAATTAGAGCTCATGAGAAATGAGGAACTAAATTCTTCTAAATAATCTTATGAACAACCCATCAGGGTCCAGAATACCTAAACATTATGAAAAACCCTTATGGTGCTTTGAATGCCACCTTGTGAATTGTGGGTTGGGGAAAACCTCTGGATTGATGAGGAAAATGGTTTCTTTTCTGGTTAGAATATTCCTTTATTGCAGGTATTTGAAGCCATCATTTAATTTTTAAAATATTAATAATGCTGTGTTATAATGACAGTTGCCCAAAATCTCAAGGCTTAACAGATATTAAGTGTCATAATACCCTTATGAGGTAGGTATTTTTAAATGCCTTTTACATATGGGTAAACCAATGCACAGATAGTTGTGAGCTGGAAAAAACATTAAATGACATTCCCTCTGTTTGCTTTAAGTATCTAAAAATGAAAATGCAGAAAGTATGAACTCTCGAAAGCGAATTAATCTGTGAAAATTAAACTGTTTTATAGAATCAGTTGTTTTGGGCAGGAGAGTACCACAGTTGCTCAGGTCCATTCAGTAGCTATACCACTCAAAATACACTACTTTCTTCACTGACTGTAGCAATAATAAAATGCATTAATTTAAAACTAGAGATCTAATTTCAAATCCCTGATACCTGGTAATTACTGCAAAAGTCTGAAGTGATCGATTCCTTAGTTTATCAGATTAGAATGGAGTCTGAAATTGTTACCGTTAGCACAGAAAAGGTCTTCTGGCTGCAGTTTTCTTGAAAGCATCATGATATTTAAAACAACTTTCTTTCCAATTGTCAAACTTCGGAATAATCATTTACCTTTTGTAGAATCTTAATATGATTGAGGGTGATAGTTAGCTGTTAGATTGCTTTACCTTTTCATACGGTATGCGTAAATATTTTAAAATACCTGTTACTAAAAGAAAACCCTGAGTCTAAAATATTTCTGTCTTGATTTTTGTAGTGTTGATGTCATGACGGCATACTGGACCGTTCTAAAGATGCACTGCAGGTACTGATGGAAAGGGGTTCAATATGAACGTAAATGATGTTGGAGGAAGACGACGCTTTGAGGACAGTGAGTTTGCACTACACGTATATCCTGGGAGCATTGCTGAAGGAACCATCTATTGCCCTATTACTGCCAGAAAAACATCAACAGCTGCTGAGGTAATAGACTCTCTCATTAATAAACTCCAACTAGACAAAACAAAATGTTATGTCCTAGCAGAGGTCAAGGAGTTCGGTGGGGAGGAATGGATTCTCAACCCTACAGACTGCCCTGTCCAACGCATGATGTTGTGGCCCCGCATGGCCCTGGAGAACCGACTGAGTGGGGAAGACTATCGCTTCCTTCTGAGGGAGAAGAATCTAGATGGGTCTATTCATTATGGCAGTCTACAGTCCTGGTTACAGGTGACAGAAGAGCGTCGCAGGATGATGGAACGTGGATTCCTTCCTCAGCCGCAGCAGAAGGACTATGATGATTTGTGCAGTTTACCAGATTTAAATGAGAAAACACTCTTGGAAAATCTCAGAAACCGCTTTAAGCAGGAAAAAATTTATACCTATGTAGGCAGCATTCTGATAGTCATTAATCCATTCAAATTTCTCCCCATTTACAATCCTAAGTATGTCAAAATGTATGATAATCATCAGCTGGGAAAGTTGGAGCCCCATATTTATGCTGTGGCTGATGTGGCCTACCATGCTATGCTTCAGCGCAGGAAGAACCAGTGCATCGTGATTTCAGGAGAAAGTGGGTCAGGGAAAACACAGAGCACAAACTTTCTGATTCATCACCTCACTGCTCTCAGCCAGAAAGGATTTGTTAGTGGAGTAGAACAGATTATTCTTGGAGCCGGACCAGTGCTTGAGGTAAGATTAAAATGATGATAGTGATGCAACTATTTTTAAATGTGTTATAAAACAAATACTCCTGATTTTATATTGCCAGACTGGGGGTATCTGCTAAATGATAATAGTAAGCAAGACTACAACATTATTAACAATAATACAATTTAGGTGTGTGCTTCTTAAAGACAATACAATTTGAACTTCCTTGGAAAAATTCAGTGAACAGTTATTGTATGAGTTTATTAATAACGTGCTTTTTCACTTCAGCATGCTTTAGCAGTGCTATAAAATCATGAATTTTATTTTATAAAACACCTTAGTGATCCCAAAACAATTTCTTTGAATTAACAGCCTTAACTACTAGAAGATTTAAATATGGAGTTTACTGCACCTAGTGCATTGGTATTGTTGCTGTCAAAGTATTGTAAGTGTTTACAGTTAACTTTATCGGGGGTTTTTGATACAAAGCTAATTCGTACTAAGATTTTGACAAGCTTTTGATTAGAAGCTTTGCTCCTCCTTTCCCATCTGTCAGAAAAAGTAATGTATACAAGAAAATGTGAACCTGTAGTCTGTTGCCAGATGAGAATTTTTGTAAAGAAAAAAGTTTAGAGCTGGACAAGTAGTTCTTCAAGTGATTGCACGTGTCCCCATTCCACTTCAGGTGTGTGCACGACCATAGTTGGAAATTCATCCCTAAGGTCTGGTCTGCACTACAGAGTTAGGTTGATGCAAGGCAGCTTACATCGACCTAACTATGGAAGTGTCTACACTTGAAATTTCACTCCCATTGATGTAACTGCCTGTGACATTACTTAAGGTACAATCTGGACAGCTGGACAACTGTGACCCCTCGGCTTGGGATACCTCTTACACTGCTTTGCAGTGAGAGCAACCACTACTGGTGTGCTCTCACACAGCCTCCAGCATGTAAATCGCTCCCAGCTATATTGTATGAGTGCTATAGCCACCCACCCGTGAATTTACATTGTGGGCAACACCAGCAATTCCCAGTCCCAGACTTTCCCCCAGAAATGTCCCTCCTGGACAACACAAGCTCATATAAACTCTGTCATTTCATGAATAGAAAATGATATGTACAAATCTTGTTACCCCAAATGAAGTTTCCCAAACACTTCAATCCAAACACACATTGGTTTAGATAAAACAATAAAATAAGCTTATTAACTATGGAAAGCCAGATTTTAAGTGGTTACAAGTAATGAGGCATAAAAGTCAGAACTGGTTACAAAGAAATAAAAGGTAAAACGCAACTAATGCTAAATGCATTCTAGCAAAGGTTTCTCTCACCACATGCTTATAGCAATCTGGATGCCTTTCAGCCAGGACCCCTTCCGAAGTTCAGTGTTGATTTCCTTATCCTTCAGGTGTTGCTGATGCCATGAGTAGAGATGGAGGGAGAGAGTAATCTGGGGAATCAGTTCCCATTACTTATAGTTCTCTTTTTTTTTGAAAATCATCTCCAGCTGAGGTTCAGGAGACAGAACATCTGTTGGGCCAAGAATCTCAAGCTGTTTCTTTGACAAAATTTAAATTTCTCACTCTCACTCTTTTTCCTGCCAAAGAATGGCCACTTAACAGGTGATAGTCCATTTGATTTTGTTGATACCTGACTGAGGCATCAGTTTGCTTTTTGTCTCTGAGGAACTGGTTTGTGTGTACTTTTCTAAACTTGGAGCATGTCTCAGTAAAGTCATACAGTAGAATCTTAATTTACAATTTACAATGAATACAATGTTGCCACACACTTCTTACCAGAACAATAATGATCAGCAAATTAGGAGTTTTCAAATGCTACCTCAGAAGGCAAATTTTGTACAAAATCCATTATAATTTTGTAAAAAGGGTGAACATGGGGATACAGACTGTCACACTTCCCCATTACAACTTTATTACTCCATCTCCACAAGTGGTGTAGAGTCAAGGTCAATGTAGTTAGGTCAGTGCAGTGTCAGTGTAGACACTGTGTTGCTTACATCAACTCTTACTGGCTTTCAGGAGTGATCCAACTATGCCCCACACTGACAGTACAATCGATACAAGTGCTCCTGGTGAGGATGCAAACTGCTGACACAAGGAGCACAAAGTGTAGACACGCGCAAGCAGTATGATTACTGTGGTGTCTGTATGCCAACGTAAGTTAGGTTGACTTAATTTTGTAGTGTACACATGGCTTAAGCGATACATATTGGAGCTTGAGCACCCTCACCAGTCTTGTGCTTCTGCACAGTGCTGTCAAGGGAGGAACCAGCCTGGATCCCCTTAGTTCCTTCTTACTCCTGTGATCTGTAGTCAGAGTCTAGGTAGGTCTGGATAGGTTATATCCCCATGTCATGGATCCCCTTCCTCCCTGGGACTTGAATCTTATGTTGGTAGTGTTGATGAGTTCTTTTTTTGAGCCAACAGCTACCTCCCTTACTGCACCTGTTTATGCAAGTAACATTTTTGGTAGCTATTATATCCATGAAAAGGGTGGAGGAGTAACAGGCATTTGTAGCTGACCGTCCTGACATGATTTTTTCTAAGGGCAATCCTTAACATCCACATCCTATATTCCCGTCTAAAGTAGTTCTGGAATTCCACCTAAAGAAAGAATATCGGTAAGTATATGGCTTTCTTAAGCCCCATTCTCATAATGATAAGGAAAGACTTTCCATAACTTGGATGTTTGAAGGGCTTTGGCCTTTTACTTGAACAGAAGTAGGCCATTTAGATTATTATCCCAGCTGTGCATTTCAGTTGTCAACAGGATGAAAGGCCTTCCAGTCTCCATGTAGAGCATTTGTCCTGGATTTTATCCTGCACACATCTATGCTATGACATTGCCAAGAAACCCCCTCTGACTAGGTTATAGCGCATGCTACAAGATGTCAAGTAGCTTCTGCATCTTTTTTGGCCCACATGTCTACAACAGACATTTGTAGAGCTGCAACTTGGTCATTGGTGCATTCCTTTTCAACTCATCATGCTATGTTTCAGCATTCTAGAGATGATGCGAAGTTTGGACATGTCGTTCTACAGTCACTGTTCAGGTAGACTTAGAAACCCAATTCCTGTTTGAACTGCTTGTGGGTCACCTGAAGTGGAATGGATGTGTGCAGCCACTTGAAGAAAAAAAGGTTACTAATCTGTTCTGTAACTCTTCTTTGAGATGTTTTTGCACATGTCCATTCCATGGCCCACCCCTTCTATATCAGAGCCTGTCCTGTAAAAAGAAACTGAGGAGGGTCCAAGGTGGCTCCACCATTTATACCAGGGGTCGGCAACCTACGGCACGCGTGCCAAACACTGCACACAAGCCGATTTTGAGTGGCATGCTCCCGAGGTCCCAGCCCCACTCAGCCCCCCTGCCCACTGCTCTCCCCTGCGGGGGCAGGAGGCAGAAGCTTGGTCCTGCGGCAGCCAAGCTTCCCCCTCCCCACTTCTTCCCCAGCATGGTGCTTTCCTGCCCCTCCTCCTCCCCCTCCCTCTTCCTGCGCCGATCAGCTGATCGCCCTTGCGAGGGGGAGGGGGATGAGTGGCAGCGTGCTCCCTGCTCCATAGAGGAGGCAGAGAAGAGGTAGGGACAGGGACCTTGGGGAAGGGGTGGAACAGGGCGTATCCCTTCCAGCCCCCTGCCATGAGCCGCTCAGGGCAGGAGGCTGGGAGTACCCCCACAAGCCGAGCACCCCAGCCTTCTGCCCTGACCCCCCCACACACACCCCCAGCCTTCTGCCCTGAACCCCCCCACACACATACCCAGCCCTCTTCCCGGCACCCCCGCACCCTCTAGCCCTCT